CCTCCCCCGCTCCGACCACTCCTTGAACATGAGAACCTCCATGAACTTGGCATCTCTGGTGGTGAAGATGGTGTTGGATTTTGGGTCCCACATGAGCCTGCCCTTGCTCCCCCGTACAAGACCCAATTGAACAGCCCACACCGCCGCCGCTTGAAGCTTGTCACGCTTCTCCTTAGGGACATGCATGAGCCCCATGCACCTGAAGACACGAAACATATCCACCAGGGGCTTCTTGCCACTCCACTTCTCGATAGGGACCCAATGCTGACCTCCCACATGAGTCAACACCTGGATCTTGATGACGGTAGCATGACGAATAGCGAGGGGCCAGAACCGCAAGGGTAGACCCGAGTCCACCAATATCGTTCTCCCACCCTCTATGATGGTATGGTTTGCTCTCTCTGCCATGCCGTTGGATTGAGGGGTGTAGGCCGTGGTGAGCTGCTGCTTGATGCTGTACCACTTCAACCAGCTCCGGAACTCCGCTCCCAAAAACTCCCGACCACGGTCGCTACGAATCGTCTTCACCCACTTGCCGCTCTCTCGCTCCACCATGGGCAGCCACTCTTCAATGATGACCCTTGCAGCATCACTCTAGTTTGCAAGTGGAAAAGACCAGGTGAGCCTTGTGTAATCATCCACCATAGTCATGGAATACAGGGCCCCACCATCTCCCTTCACCTTCATGGGCCCCACAAGATCCACATGCACTAGCTCCACCGGGTCACTTGACTGCCCCACCACCGAATGGAAGGGAAACCGTGAAAACTTGCTGGTCAAGCAAGTCTCACAAGAGCCCACCTCCTTGGGCTCCCCCTTTATCCTCAGCCCTTGACTCTTTCCTCCTAAAACAGCTGTTGTAACTGAGGTAGCGCCACGTGACCAAAGCGACGGTGTGTGGTGAGCCAATCCGTCTCACCCGTGCTAGGAGTTACACTTGGTAGCGCACCCCCCCCATGCACAAGCAGCCCACCATCATTGCCATCACCACCTCCTCCACTGGTTACGTGGCTTGCATGCCCTCCTCTTACAGCTTCAACAGCCAAGTGCGCAGCCGCCTCCTTCTATGGCAGCACCGGTATCTCCCACATGGACCGGTGCATGTCCTTTCCGCCTCGGAGGTCCCACAACACGCGCCCATCCAGAGCTGCCTTGAACACCTTTGTGCCCATCATCTCCATCTTCATCCCTGCCTCAGTCGATGCCTTGGTAGAGAGAAGGTTGGCACATAGTCCAGGGACAAGAAGAACACACTTCAGCCCCACAAGCCTCCCATCCGCACCCATAAACATGGCTCTCCCCCCACCACACACGGGTTCAACTTGGCCGGTGGCTGCATTTGATGGTCTGACTTCATCCAGCAGATCCTCTTGGTTGGTCATGGTCATGAAGACTCCCGTGTTGATGACCCAATGGGAGGAGCGGTGAATAGCAACCTTGCTGGCCAATACAACCATGTCCTCGGAGCATGCCTCTCCTACATGGTAGAACATGCCGCCATGTCCGTCAGCACCTCCATCGCCCTCCCCAGTGCCCATTCCTTCTCCCATAGCTCCATGAACACCCTTAGAGCCTTCAATTGATGGCTGACCAGGCCTCCAACCGTCAGGCAATACCAACACTTGCCGCCACACCGCTTGCCTCCCTTGTTGCCACACTCCCCTCCAGAGCCTTCCTTGGCCTTGCCTTTCTTGCTGCCACGTCCCTTGAAGCCTTTCATGACGTAGGGAGAGCCTCCACCTTCACCGGCAGCGGCAGTCAGCTCCTTCCTCCGAAACTCCTCTTGAAGGACTTGAGCACGGATCCACTCAAAGGACCATGAGTCCTTCATGCCATTGAGGTTGACCACCAAGGGGCCCCACGACTCGGGCAGCAGGGAGAGAGCCTTGTAGCACTTGATCTTCTCAGGGTAGTCTACACCTGCAGCTGAGAGCTTCACATAGAGGTCCCGGAGTTGATCGAACGCTCTTTGCACAACATCACCCTCGTTGATCTTCACCGCATGGAGTTGTCGCTCGAGCACCACCACCATCGCTTCGCTGCTGGGGGCATGGACATCCTTCAATATTTTCCATGCCTTGGGACCACACTGGATATCCTTGATGACATGATTGACGTGGTGCAGCTAGTTGGATGAGAGGCATTGAGAGAGAAGCAAGAATCCATCCTTGGATCGGCAATCCCATTCCTCGGTCGCTCCTTCGCTCGCAGGCCTCTTCAATTCTCCATCCATCACTTCAAGCAGCCCATAATGGTTAAATAGGAGCTCCATCCTGAAGCTCCATGATGGCCAGTCCTCCCCAAAGAACTTCTCCAGGTTGAATGCCTTCACATCATCCTTGGCTGGTGTTGAAACGGATGCTATTGGTGCAGATCCACCTGCAACGCCTCTTCCTGCTTCCCCAGCGCCTCTCGCGCCACCACTGCCACTAGGACCAGCAGGAGCAGAACCTTCAGCCTCCATATTGACCCAGGAACAGAGAAGAACCGCTCTGATACCACTTGTTATAGTCTCGAGTCCACTTAGATGTCGCGGATGCTCATGAAACCGCCTAAGCAGAATCTGATGACTTCGAACCGCCTCTGTTCAAAACGTCGTCACGATCAGCTCCAATAACACATGAGGCTTTACAGTAGTTAGCTTAAGGTGTCTGCTTTCCAACGGTATATTGCTTGCTTTCATCAGAGGTGTATGTGCTACGCAGTGAACGAAAACGTAAGCTCGGCTGAAAACGTGTAGTTTCATTGATGCAAGGAAGATTTGAGTACAACATTGCCTAGGGGACTCTTAAAGGGTTGGGACCATCCTGGGAACACGAAGAAGTTTGAGTCCTAGGGGAGAAAGGCTAGAGAAGGATAGGAAACGTCCTAGCTAGGTCAGCAAAGCCAACCACACTTGGATGTTCAGAGCTGTACTCAAGGCTACCAATAGTGAGTCAAGCCAACCATGAGTCAGCTTGTCTTCCCACTTGGACGCTCTTGCAAGCTGCTTCCAGGAAGACCACACTTCTCAAAATGAGGGTGGTAGAGTCTTAATTGACCCTGTTACTGCAGCTACAGCCCTACTGGTGCAGCTACAGCCCTTGCTGCTGCCGCTACATCCCTTGCTGCTGCCGCTACAGCCCCTGCTGCTGCCGCCCCAGCCCCTTCTACTGCAGCTACAGCCCTGCTGGTGCAGCTACAGCCCTTACTGTTGCCGCTACATCCCTTGCTGCTGCCGCTACAGCCCCTGCTGCTGCCGCTCCAGCCCCTGTTACTGCAGCCACAGCCCTCCTGGTGCAGCTACAGCCCTTGCTGCTGCTGCTACAGCCCTTGCTGCTGCCGCTACAGCCCTTGCTGCTGCCACTACAGCCCCTGCTGCTGCCACCCCAGCCCCTTCTACTGCAGCTGCAGCCCTGCTGCTGCAGCTACAGCCCTTGCTGCTGCTGCTACAGCCCTTGCTGCTGCCGCTACAGCCCCTGCTGCTGCCACTACAGCCCCTGCTGCTGCCGACCCAGCCCCTTCTACTGCAGCTACAGCCCTGCTGCTGCAGCTACAGCCCTTGCTGCTGCTGCTACAGCCCTTGCTGCTGCCGCTACAGCCCCTGCTGCTGCCGCTCCAGCCCCTGTTACTGCAGCTACAGCCCTGCTGGTGCAGCTACAGCCCTTGCTGCTACCGCTACAGCCCTTGCTGCTGCCGCCACAACCCTTGCTCTGATACCATATCGAGAGAACTGTGCAGGAATGACTAGAAACAGGGCAGTACAGGTTTGTGTAGGCTAACCCTAATTGGGGTTGTACCCCATACTGAGTAACCCACTATAGCCTAGCAAGTAGAATTATATTTTGACATGACTCACCCTGCATCGGAGCCGATCATTGAGCCCGAGAAAGATCCTGAGCCATCAAATTCGACACCCCACAGGCATCAAGAGGACCGAGTTCCTCATTCGCTGGAAGGACCGCACGCCAACTGAAGATAGCTGGGTGCCCCTGGCCAACATCGAATACCACCCTGCCCTGCAAGTGTACCTGAGGAGCTGGGGTTTCCGCGATATACACACTCTCGCGTATGGGGGGGGGAGGGGGTAGTGTAAGGAATTTTCTGGACATTCCTTACCGCGACCATCAACATCGCGTACAGCAGCAGCCGTTGTTCGCCCGTTACTGCTAACAGGGCTTCGCCAACTTCGCGCGCACTGTTTCACCAAACCATGCACTGCTGGCCTGGCCGAGTCGGCCTACGCTTCGGGGCTAGCCCGAACCTTGATGCTAGCCTAGCACTAGCTAGCTCGCACACACCACGTTACCGTTTGCATGTTTTCGCGTATAAGTATTCGCTTATGCCTTCGCTCATACTTTGTACTTTTGACCCACATAGTGCAATCCTCACTACCTCGTTCCATTGCACCTGTAACATCCGCGCAACTCTGTTTTACAACTCATAACAGGTATATAATCCTCCCTCATTCCTTTGCTCAATGTTCTGTTTTGCTTCGATAGTGCAATTCTCGCTCCCTCGCTAAATTGCACTCATAACAGGTTCATTTCTTTCAGGTGGACACGACGTTCTTCCAATCAGATTCAACAACTCCGTCCCTCTCCTCCCCTAGCACTGCAGTCCCCAATCTCCCACCAGCACCGCAGCCGTCAAGCCCCCCTGGCGCAACACGTTCCGCCCGGCCAACCACCAACTTCCCGCCAGTGGGTGGGCCGCAAATCCTCCATCCCAACCTGCCCCATTTCCACCCCCCATTCCTCCCCTCGCCAAGCTGAGCTTCTCCACGAAGAGCCATCATTTATCAGGCTTGAGGGAAGCGGTTGATCCCAGCCCAGCTCAGTCCACCTCCACCCAGCCCCTCCATTCAAATCTGTTGGTTCTGGCTAAATTTTACAAGAACAGACATAGCTGGAGCATTTTTATTTTAGCATCTCAGAAAGCACGCTTGGCCACCCGCCATCGCGATTTTAGCGGTCTTAGTTTCAACCCTTCGGTGTTTTCCCCGTGTTCCGGCTGCCATGATGCAGCCACCGCGGTGGGTGATAGTCCTCCTTCTGCTGGCGGTGTCCGTGCCGGCGCGCGTGGTGGCGGCGCACGTGTGTCCGCCGCTGTCGTGCGCGGCGACGCGGCTGGGGTACCTGTGGGACCACAACAACCAGGGCCACCTGGGGGAGGAGGAGCTGCAGGGCGACCTGCGCAAGTCGCAGCACTGCATGCTGCTGTGCCGCCGCACGCGCGGTTGCTTCATCTGGATGTTCCGCTTCAGCAGCGACGGAGGTGAGTGCGCAATTGTCGTGACTCGATTTTTAATTAGAAGGCGAGCGCGCGAGGCTTGTTTTTTAACCATACCGATATATCAAACCGCAGCGAGTGCATCCGTGGTCTCAGAACCATTACGCAGGTTTCCTCGGTTGTCGTCGTTTAGCGGGCTGTATGCTACACAAGCCGCCTTGTGTATATCTCTGCGCGCCGTGCCCTCAGCATACAAAAGTTGAGCGCTTGGTAGCCCGGCCGACACTCTTGTGAGTGCGAACACGTATTGTATCGCATCCAGAACACGAAGACAGTTGAATGCCGTGCAGCGAGCTTGCCTTTTCCTCTCATTTAAGTTCCTCCCTCCATTTCGAAGCGTACCTATGTGAAGAACAAATACAAGAACAAAAAAAAAAAAAAAAAAAATCATGTTAACGCTGACCTCACTTGTTTCGTCATCCGTGCCCGTTGTCATCCGCCGTAATTCCTCTTGGCACCGGAGTATCGCTCGTGTACATCGGTACAACCTAACCGCGTGTCACATCGTCTCTATCCACCCCCACCCCCGTGCGCTGCCAATCCCCCACGCCCGTTGCGCGTGCGCGCAGCGTTCTGCCGCATGTGGTCGGCGGAGCAGAGTCCGTGCAACGTGGACCCCAGCGACGGCGCCAACCCCGTGCACTACAACCCCACGCCGCCCTGGGAGGGCTTCTTCGGCTTCGGCGGTAACTGCTCCTCCGACGCCGATGCACCAGGGCAGGCGCAGGGGCAGGGGCAAGGGATGGGGCAGGGGCAGGGGCAGGGGCAGGGGCAAGGGATGGGGCAGGGGCAGGGACAAGTACAGGGCCAGGGGCAAATTCCTCTTGGGTACGGGCAGGGCCCGCCGCAGGGAGGAAACGGTGGAGACCAGGGCCAAGGACAGCCGGGCCAGGGGCAGCAACAGGGGCAAGGGCAGCTCCCGCAGGGGCAGGGGCAGGGGCAGGGTTACCAGCAGGCGCAAGGCGCGTCACTGGGGTCGGGGCAGCTGCCTGCGCCTGGTGGCGTGGTGTCTGGGCCTAGGGGAGACCAGTGGCCGGGCGCGCAGGCGCAGGGAGGGGCGCAGGGGCAGGGGAACGGTCAGGAGTGGCAGGATGCCACACGACAGGGAGGCTGGCAGGGGCAGGGGCAAGGAGAGGGGCAGGGGCAGGGGCAGGGGCAGGGGCAGGGGCAGGGGCAGGGGCAGGGTCAATTTGGGGGGAGCGGCGGAGGTGGAATGAATGGGAGCGCTGTGCCTGCTGAGGATTTAACTGTGCCCAAGGAGTACTTTCTGCCTGCTAGAGGAGGTACGACACGGGGCTGCTTGAGTGGAGGGTAACTCGATGCATTTGTCAACACTGTGCACAGCTGTTGTCTATGTATATGTTGCACTTCGGCTGCTGTGCTCACATGCTTGCGTGTATCTTATCTCCTCTCACTGCCTAGTTGCATCTCAGTTTGCTTCATGCAGATGCTCGTCACAGTTCATGTTACTCTATCCCTCAATTCTCATCCCCCTTTTTCGCCACCACCTCTCGCCCACGTGCCCCGCCTCTCTCCCCAGTCCCCACGGAGCCGTGTCCGTGGCTCAAGTGCAACGTGGCGACGCGGGGGTTCCTGTTTGACCACCCGGCGCGCGGCCACCTCACCGTCATCTCCACCGCCACCAGCCGCCGTCGCCGCGCTCACGACTGCTGGAGCACCTGCCGCAAGACAGAGGGGTGCGCCTTCTGGATGTTCGAACAGGGCAACTCCCCCACAGGTGCGCTCACAGGGAACGGTTGTGTGGGCTTGGCACATGCAGGTTCTACAATTACATGGCATGCACATGTTGGCTATGTCCTTTCCATTTCTCGACTTGGGCCTTTGTGTGAGCAGGATATTGCAAGATGTGGAACAACGAGCAGAACCCATGTGACCCAGACATGCCAGGTGATCCCACGTCAGCACACTTCCAGCACAGGGAGGACAGGCGCTTCGTGGTGGGAGGGCACTGCAAGGGAGGAGCCTCCAACTTCCAGTTCCAGAACAGGCAAAGACAGTTGTAGCGCTGACATGGGAGTTAACATTAGCAGCAGCTGGATTATTTTGTTGTGGTTTTGAATTCTGCAGGGCACCACAGTGGTACTAGACAAGCTGAAGTAGAAAACACACAGTTGCATGGTATTAGTACTCCATGCAGACTTTCTGCTTGTAACATGCAAGCAGAAAGTAACCAACATGGTAGAGGGAAAATGTCAGAAGTAACCAACATGGGACTCGATAACGTGAATGGTAAGAAAGTAAAGCGTACGGTCAATGTATCTGGTTTGCTGACGGGTTTGGTAAGTGGGGTCACGGATTCAGTCACTAACAACAGGTGAAAAATCATGCGAATGGTTACACATATAACTCCTGCCAAATTTTCTTGAAACTCTACAAAATTCCAGCTCGCGCCCAACCAATTGTTGGGTTTGTTGGAAACAAGTGATTTATAGCGCCTCTGTCGTATCGAAGCTGAGACACAAAACGGAACTAACTACAGCGAAGTATCACGCGAGTCAACTGTCGGAGGTTACGCGAAGGCCAAAGGTCCCCGACCTTTAACCTGACGAAATGAACAGTGCGACAGCAAGGACATATAACTGACTCGTTACAGAGCAGTTACCCGAGTCGGCACTGTATCGAACCGCAACAGCAAAACAGTTAGAATAGAACCTTTCATATTCCTTGTAATCATATAAAAGCTTGTATCTTTTTGTTATTATCAACTTACTTAGTTCTCACAAACCAGTACAAGGTGGTTCAACAAGTCTTTATTAAAACGCTTCCGCTACTACATCATCCTACTCTTGAATTCTGTCCTGCAAAGATCCTAAGGGCCTTCTCAGCCCAACATGGTATTAGAGCAGTCAGGACAAATTCAACTACGATCAAGATATCTACGACATCACAAGACATGGCAACGCAGAAGGAGAGAAGCTCCTCTAACGGCTCTCCTGGCACTACTCCTACTCCACCTCCTGCCTCTGGCCTACAGACAGAGGGCATCGTCTTCGGAAACTCCCGCTAATCAAGCTGCGGCCTTCGATCCAGACATGATGGAGAAGTTCTTCTCCTTCATGTCCTTCTACGAACAGCACCAGCAAGGGGCACCTGCACAGTCAAACAACAGCAACAACAACAACGCAACACCAATGAGCCTAGATGGTTCATCGTACGCACGTGGAAATCAACAGCAACGGCCTACCTTTGCTCCGTACGAGCCCCAGCGTGGCTCCGTCAGCTTTATGCCACACCCGCAGCCTGCATCCGGACAAGAAAAGACACTGGATGCACTTCAAGTTCAGTCGCAGTTCGCGCACGTCTTAAAACTGCAAACGACAAAGCCTTTCGACGGAAAGGACTTCTTTACCTGGTCATTCGAGTTCGAGCGTATGATGGAAGGCGCACAGATCCTTGGCTTCTTCGACGGGTCCCTGCCATATCCAACACACGGCACACAGTACGATAAGCAGCAGTACACGTATCAGTCAATGATGGCGTACACAATACTGCTGAGAAATATCACTCCAAGTCAGCAGCAGAACATACGGTCTTACCTGGGTTACGGCAACTCTGCAGAGCTCGCGTACAACCACCTGAAGAACCTGTATCAAGCAACAGACAGCGTAAATCAAAGTCGGTTAATGGCGCAACTGACGACAGTCGAAATGAAACCAGGCGAAAAAGGGATGGCGTATATAAGCCGTTGTCGCGAATTGCGCGACAAACTCCTTCGATGCGGAGGGTCGATTTCAGAAGACGCCTTCGTCACAGTCATCATCGGCGGCCTCGGTCCTCAGTGGCGCTCCACCCACGCCATACTCCGAGCGCATGGAAAGATATCAGAAGCAGCACTCTGTGTCAAACTTATATCTGCTATAGTCTATTTAGGCTGTAGTGGGGTAGTTCCTAGAGGGTACAACACTTATGTGTTGTCTATTTGTACCCACCTCATTCCTAGTTCAATCATTCTTTTCGTCAATTATCTCACATGGTATAGAGCTAGTTTCGAGTTTTTTTTTAAAGGGCCCACCACTGAAATTTTTCTTACCTGCCTGACGCGCGCGTCGCGCCTGCCCTTCGAGGCCCGTAGCGGCCCCTACGCCTGCCCTTAGAGCCAGCGCCTGCCCCCAAAGCAGCCGCTTCGCGGCCTAGCCAGGCGCCGCGCAGCCCCGTAAGGCCCCGTCAGGCCCCGTTTACGGCCCCGTAAGGCCCCTTAAGGCCCCGTAAGGCCCCGTTTACGACCCGTTTACGGCCCCGTAAGGCCCCGTAAGGCCCCGTAAGGCCACGTCAGGCCCCGTTTACGGCCCCGTAAGGCCCCGTCAGGCCCCGTTTACGGCCCCGTCAGGCCCCGTCAGGCCCCGTTATCGGCCCCGTCAGGCCCCGTAAGGCCCAGTCAGGCCCCGTTAGCGGCCCCGTCAGGCCCCGTCAGGCCCCGTAAGGCCCAGTCAGGCCCCGTTAGCGGCCCCGTCAGGCCCCGTCAGGCCCCGTAAGGCTCCGTCCGGCCCCGTCAGGCCCCCCCCTTTGCGGCCCCCGTTGCGGCGCGACTCGCGGCCCTGCCCCGACCCTGTCGCGGCCCTGTCCTGGCCCTACTGCGACCCAGCCCCGGCCCTACTTCGGCCCTGTCGCGGCCCTGCCCCGGCCCTACCCCGACCTGTCGCGGCCCTGCTGCGGCCCTGTCGCAGCCTTGCCCCGGCCCTGCTCCAACCCTGTTGCAGCCCTGCCCCGGCCCTCGCCCCGGCCCTGTCTCGGCCCTGCCCCGGCCCTGCTCCTGCACTGCCGCGGCCCGGCCCCGGCCCTGCCCCGGACCTGTCGCGGCCCTGCTCCGGCCCGCGCCCCGGCCCTGTCCTGGCCCTGCTCCGACCCTGCCCCGGCCCTGCCCCGGCCCTGCCCCTGCCCTGCTCCTGCACTGTCGCGGCCCTGCCCCAACCCGGCCCCGGATCTTTTGGCGGCCCGGCCCCGGCCCTACCCCGGCCCTGCCCCGGCCTCGCCCCTGGTAAGAGCGCCGCGCTGCCGAGCCGCGCCGCCCTGCCGAGCCGCCCTGCCGAGCCGCGCCGCCCTGCCTAGCCTGCTTAGCCGAGTTGCACTGCTGCTGCTGCTAGCCTGCTGCTGCTCCTGTCATGGCTAGTCTCAATGTTCTTACCTTTGATGCTGAGGGTCGAGCTGTTGACTTTGAGGTCTGGCTAGATGATCTGCAGCTTTTCCTACAGTGCGATAGCAAGGATGGCCTCTCACTGTTCGATCTCTCGTCTGGCGCCTCTACTGCCCCTGCTGCTGATCCTGACAGTACTGTTCGCTCGCAGTGGCTCACGCGCGATGCTGCTGCTCGCCTTGCTGTGCGAAATCACCTGCCGTCTACTGAGCGCGCGCACTTTAGTCAGTACAAGAGTGCTAGGGCTCTGTACGACGCTGTAGTTGCACGCTACTCCTCCCCTACCACTGCTGCCCTCAGCCGCCTCATGCTGCCGTACCTTTTTCCTGACCTTGCCGCCTTTTCCACAGTTGCTGACCTAGTTGCTCACCTCCGCACTAGTGACGCTCGCTACCGCGCTGCCCTTCCCACTGAGTTTCTTCCCACGAACTCCCCCCCCATGTACATCACCCTTTACTACCTAGTCACCCGCCTCCCTGACTCTCTCTCCTCAGTCAGGGATCACTTTCTCTCCCTTTGCCCCACCGAGCTGACTGTCGACTTGCTAGAGGAGCGCCTTGCTGCAGCTGAGAAGAGTATCTTAGCTGTCGGTGCTTGTCGCGGCGACCGTCGCACCCCCTTCTTTGAGGGGTGTTCCCCTGTCCCCCTTCTCCCCTCTGTTGCCTCTTCTGCTGCTGTCGACCTCGTTGGCACTGAGGAGGTCGGCGCTGCGTCTGCCCCTAGTGGGCGACGCCGCACTGGCAAGGGCAAGGGAAGCAGGGGAGGTGGAGGGGGCGGTGGAGGCAGCGGTGGGGGAGGTGGAGGAGGTGGAGGTGGTGGTGGGGGTGGCTCCGGGAGTGGGGGCGTCGGTGGCGGCAGTGGAGGCGGTGGCGGCGGTGGCGGAGGAGGTGGCGGCGGCGGCAGCGGTGGTGGAGGCAGCGGAGGAGGTGGTGCTTGTCGCGGTGCAGCCACGCAGCGTGGAGGCCTTGGTGGCAGCCAGCGTCAGCAGCAGCTGCGCACCCGTGAGACCCCGTCTGTTCAGCAGCTTCGTGAGTGGTACGCTGGGCGTGGGAGGTCTGGGGGTGCAGGTCCCTGCACGTACGTTCTTCGCACCGGCACTCGTAGTGGGGAGGTGTGTGGTCTCCCACACACCACGCAGCGCTGCTTCGGCCGCTTGACTGACGCTTGGCGTACCCAGTTTCCTGACGCTGTTGAGCTTCCTCGTTGGCATGATCTGCTTCTGCAGAATGTGCCTATCTTTGATCTAGACTTTGATGCTATCCTTGCTGCCATGTATGCTCTTGCTGATATTACTGAGGGTGACTGTTACCTGCGTGTCCCGCCCGACCCGGGCACTGTGGCTGCTGCTCTAGGTGCTAGTGCGTCTGCTGCTCCAGGTGCTGGTACGTCTCCTCTCTCTGGTACTGCACCTACTGCGTCCTTTCACACTTTCACACTTGACTCTGGTGCTTCGCGCTCTTTCTTTAGAGACAGCACCACGCTCACGCCGCTCAGTCGGCCTGTTGCGGTCTCCCTTGCTGACCCCTCAGGGGGCCCAGTACTTGCACACTCCTCCACGGTCTTACCGTGTCCTGCGGCCCCGTCGGGCTTGCTGTCGGGACTCCACCTCCCCTCGTTCTCTACGAACCTGGTGAGTGGAGCTGACCTCCAGGACGCGTGGGTTGACCAGTTCACCCCTGGAGGTCAGCGTGTGACCCACTGCACTTGCTCTCGGACGGGCCGCCACCTGGCCACGTTCACCCGTCGGCCAGGGTCGAGTCTGTACACACTGACTACTGCGCCTCCTCCGGTCCCTGCGTCTGGTCAGGTAGCTGCGTCCAGTCAGGTGTTTGCTGTCGCGTCCAGGTCAAGTCCTGCGTCTGCCCCCTGCTC